GTTTTGTACTTCTAATTAGTGACCGTTGTTTTGTTTTGATCTCTCCCTTGCTCTTCCGCGTTCGTCACTTCTGACCGTGCATGCGTAACGCTGAACTCATATTATACACCTAGAATGACTTGAGGGTGAGTAATTTATTGGCTAATTTTCATTTTTGGGTGAACTAACCCTTTAAGGGATGACATAAATTCAGCAGATATTATTGCAAAAAAAAAATAAAAATAAATAAATAAATAAATAAAAAAGTAATCAAGACCCCAGTAATATACTGATTTGAGAAGAAATAAGAAAGTGACTGCAGTGTGATATGACAAATATGAGACAGGTGGTTTAGCAGTCATTATACAAAAACTTGACCACAGAATGCTGTGAATGACCAATAAGACGTATTTTATACAGTCATGTAATAAAGCAGGAAATTCTGTAAACTAATGTGACAAATGATCATAAAAAAATCTGATGAAACCAGCAGGCAATGAAAAACTATAGTTAAACAGTTTTCAGACAAGAGCATGATGCAACTGAGATAACATTTTAGCGATAATCCATTTCTTATTGTTGCTGAAATTCTAAACATTTCACATTTCAAACAATTTCCTGTTTCATCAGTGACTTACTAGTTAGCTTAGCATCACAGACATGAGCAAACATTAAAACTAAACACATGTGGACTTCTCACTCTGCCTTTTAAAGACATTAAACATATGGAAATAATGTTTTATATGATTTTAGCACATTTCTATGTGGTCGCCCATTGCTTAAAAGTCAAAAACAAGCCCACTTTTCAAGTCTCTGTGATTCTGGTCCATAAATATGGCTCACTTCACTCCTTTAATGTAAATATATGGGTTTGTTCAAATCCCTAACCTCAAATATGAGCAATAGTAAGCAGCACTTTGCTGCATGGTTACCAAATCTTCTTGGTCTTGCATCTACCAATTATGAATAGCAATGAATTCTCTGCTGCAATCACTTAAACAAAAAAATTTAAAAGAATTAGCTTTAGCATACTGATTGTGACCATGTCAGAATACTGTGACATGAATACTATAGCTGACGAGTATACATGAAACCCATAGAGCTGACTCTAATCTTATATTGTTAACAATTAGCCTGCAACAAGCATGCAGGTCTGCTTCAAACACCACCTGCCTCTACACGTCAGTCCCTCTCAGCTGTTCTCAAGACCATGTGTCTGTCGCCACAGGGGAAATACAGATGAATGGACACATGAATGTCCTGGCTGTGATGATATTCCACAATGTCCTACTAGACTGCTGCCCAACAGCTCTAAAACAATGAATGACTTATGATTTAGATGGCATAAAGCAATATGTTTGAATAATTAATAACGTGATCATTTATCAGGTACTGCTGGGCTTTCACTTATTATGTCCAAAATGTCATAACAAGTCTTGACTACGATTCCTATTCATATTTATAAATGTACACTGATATTTAAAAGTTTGGGGTTTGTAAATTGTTTTTATGGTATATTTTATGCTCACCAAGACTGCATTTACATGATTAAAATATAGGCTAGTGAAACCAGTACTATTTTGAAAAAGTAGTACATTTTAAATTTGATTTGACATTTAAAAAAAATATATACATTTTGTAATTTATTTCTCCTGAATTTTCAGCATCATTACTCCAGTCTTCAGTGTCACATGGTCCTTCAGAAATCATTCTAATATGCTGATTTGCTTCTCAAGACACATTTATTATTATTAATAGTAATCAATGTTGAAAATAGTTGTGCTGCTTAACATTTTTGCGACAACTCTGATGCATTCAGGATTGAATAGAGAAAGTTCAAAAAGCATTTGTGTGAAATGGTAATTTTTTATCATTACAAATGCCTTTACTGTCACTTTGATTAATTTAAAGACTCCTTACAGGATAAAAGTAATAATTTCTTGAAAAAAAAAAAAACATCTGGTGGGAAAGAAACCTTAACTCTCATTTCTACTCAATTTAAAGCATCCTTCCGAAATAAAAGTATCAATTCTTTTCAAAAGAAAAAATGCCCTAAATTTTGAAGATAGTGTACAAATTCTTTGTCATGCCCAAATGAACACATTACTAAACCATGATTCATTCTGCATGACACATGATTCTAGAATTTAGTCACAAATGGTTTTAATACTGATTCAAAGGGCAGGGTGCAAGATATGACTAACTTCTGTCTAGTGCCAGAGAGCCCTGCTTTGGACCAGAACGAGACACCCACCAAAGCCACAAGAGAAACATCTTTGAATCATTTAGTCCTCTCATGAGTCCTCTGTGAATATCTGAGAATGTATCGTTGCTAAATCAACTCACATGAAGGTTCAAAAACAGAGGCTCTCCACTAAATATGCAAAACATATCATTAGATTCCCAACATTTTTGCTCTCATACTTTTTGTATCTTTCTAAATGTATTATTAAAATGTCTTTTTATTAGTCAGAATATACCAGTGTATTATAGCCATACTGTGATACTGCAAAAATGTGAAAAATGAGGCAAAAACTAGTCTCACATTAAGGTTGTAACTTCAAATCTATAAGATTTGCACACTTTAGAGCACAGAAGTCTGAAAAACTCTCGACTGTTGTCACTGTTTTCATTACACAAGGCAATAATGAGCGGTCAACAGATGCCTGATAATCTCATGTGCTTTTTAAATTAATTTTCCTACATTGTTTAGAAAACTAACATGTATTTTTGTTATGCACGTCCCAACTGGGATATAGGATTTGCAACTGTCAGAGAATTCAATTAAATAGTTATTTTATATTAATTTTGTATACATTTTGGTGCAGTCGTGGCCTAATGGTTAGAGAGTTGGACTTGTAACCCGAAGGTTGCAGGTTCCAGTCTCAGATCCGGCAGGAATTGTCGGTGGGGGGAGTGAATAACCAGCCTCCACCCTCAATACCATGACTGAGGTGAGACCCTTGAGCAAGGCACCGAACCCCCAACTGCTCCCCGGGCGCCGCAGCAATATGGCTGCTCACTGCTCCGGGTGTGTGTGTGTTCACTGCTGTGTGTGTGCACATGGATGGGTTAAATGCAGAGCACAAATTCCGAGTATGGGTCACCATACTTGGCCACATGTCACTTCACTCACTCATAATGTGTATAGTTATAGGCTAAAAAATTCTAACTGGATGATATATCATTTTGAAGGCCTTTGAATCAAATCAAATTGTAATCATATCGCATCATGGTCTAAGGTATCGGCAAATATTATATTGCTGGCTAAGAGAATTGATGTCAGATCATATAATGATGAAATGTCCAATCATTTTATCAGCAAAAAAATATTGCTATATATTTCCAAATAAATCCAAAACCTTCCCCAAAACAAAGCCGTATTTATCATTTTGACAAAAAGTAGGGACAGAGCTGTGAAACCGAACTACTTTTTTTTTTTTAAACAAAGCTCTTCCTCATACATTTATATTGCTTTTCCTAAGTTCAATAAATTTGAATCTATATGAAGTATTGAGTTATGGTCTGCGGACAGCTGGCTTTATGGGTAGGGAGAGATAAACAAAAACTAGGCTATGAGATGAAATCAAATCAAATGGCATTCCCACCGATCAGAGATTTCACCAAGATGAATTTCAAAGAGAATGTTATTTCTTTCAGACCTAATATCAGGTAAAGCTGGTCTGCGTCTAAACTCTGTCAGTCCAACTGAGGGTTAAACAAATACTAAGGTAAGGTTTAACTAAACAACTGATCATCATCAACCTAAATGTCCCTTTGGTGATACATGAACCTATGATTAAATCATTCAAAGGAATGATCATTTCTTTCTTATTCCACTCACCGTCACTGCAGAATGTCACACACATGCTTTAATAAAACAATAGATATGCATTATAACAAAAGATCACTATATTAAATGAACTTCTAGGATTATCATTTACTTTGAAAGAATATACTGCAACATTTGGACATCTGAAGCAATGTTTCCAATGTTTCTCTCTCGCTGTCATGTGCTTTTATTGCCGGTGTGTGAGTGAAAAGGCTTGAGTGAGAGACAGACACATTAACACACAGGTGTGTCAGCAATAACTAATTCACACCATCACCGACATTTCGCGTCTACGCGTCTCGCCATTCTACCTCACAGGCAATACACACACGCGTAACTGATATTCACTGCACTGGTGGTGAAACGCTTTTATTCCACGTTCCACCGGCATATAAAACCTGGATGAAGTTCAACAGCGTTTAGAGGTTGAAATGAATATCGAATATCTGGGCTTTCATCACATTCACACCGTCACCCAAGAGGCATGCCAGCCGTCTGGACCTCAAAAGAAAGCGAACAGCAGAACCCCGCGAACAAACGAAACACTGTAACATCCAGAGCATGACGTATTAGTTCGAAAAATGACGTATTGGCTTCAAACACATTTGCAGTCGATACATTGACGCTGCTTGACCTGCAATATGCTATTAGATATCGTAAAACTAGATTGGTTTTCTAACAATCTTTGAGGCGCTATTTTGACCATTAAGCTATTATATTTTGGTTTTGTAAAAGATCTGTCTCCATCCATCGTAGCGAAAGCGGCACGTCTCTGACACACCCTCCGAAAGTGAATTCGTGCATTGCGTGCATCAGCCTTAAACAACGCAAATATCGTCCAAATCCAAACGCTCAGCATTCATATTCAAGGAAGATATCACGCCTCGATGCGCCCTCGTACGCGTTTTGATGAGGATCCTCTGTAACGCTACATTTGCAGTGCTCGCATTTCAATCACATCCACACTGATTCAGACAATACATGAGAGGAGAAGGTAATTTCTTCGATCCGTACCTGCACATAATTGTTCTCGCAATATTCCGCGACCCTTGAAAGGTTTTGGTAGCTCTCTACAAGGGCTCTTTTTCCAGCCGGAATTTCTTCCTCTAACAACATTTGTAGCTCTGCCATCTTACATCCCTCTGCATTACTCTTCTCCCCCTCTTTCATTGAAACCAGCGGAGCTTCACTCTCCGACAGGAGGTCCCTCGCCTGGCATTGTGGGATTCCCGTTGGCTCCTCTTTTTCAGCAGGCCGACGATTCTCAACGCAGCGCTTTACGCACTGGGCTGTGATTGGCTGTTCGGCTCTGAGAATCCGTTATTGGCCAATGGGAGAGGAGTACGATTTCTCAGCGATGAGAAATGCCGCGATTTTCTACAACAGCATTCTGGCCAGAATGTGACATTGGACAAGCAGCAGAGTTGCACCGAGGGCTGTATTAAGACTAATGAGTTTTTGTACACCGTTGCGGGCAATGTTTTTTAGACATTAAGAATGTGCCGCTGTTTTAAGTTTCTTTAGAGGTAATCCTAGGCTTTTCATAATATAAAATAATTTAATCATGCAATACCGTGATGATAACCCTGTTGAAAAAACCAGCATATGCTGGTTAGGTATGTTTTGACGCTGGTATGCTGGTTTATGCTGGTCCTTTGCTGGTTTATGCTGGTCCTTTGCTGGTTTAAGCTGGTCCTCTTGCTGGGTTAAGCTGGTCCTTTGCTGGTTTATCCTGGTCCTTTGCTGGTTTAAGATGGTCCTTTTGCTGGGTTAAGATGGTCCTTTTGCTGGGTTAAGCTGGTCCTTTGCTGGTTTAAGCTGGTCCTTTTGCTGGGTTAAGCTGGTCCTTTTGCTGGGTTAAGCTGGTCCTTTGCTGGTTTATGCTGGTCCTTTGCCAGCACATGACCAGCATAAACCAGCAAAATGACCATCTTAAACCAGCAAAGGACCAGCTTAAACCAGCATAAACCAGCAAAGGACCAGCTTAAACCAGCATCCCAGCGTCAAAACATACCTAACCAGCATATGCTGTTTTTTTCAACAGGGAATGCTATACAAATATTGGTATAATAAAATAAAGTAATAATAATGCGACAATAAGTTATGAACAATATACGCACTAAGCACTACAACTGACGTACAATCATTTAAAAGCCAAAACACCCACAGCCTTACAAGTAAACAGCATCAAAGACCTAGAAAATGTAACTGACGGAGCCGATGTGTATTATTACAAATAATAAACCTATTGTATATTCTGAATCGATCTATTCTGATTTTTCATAAAATGGACAGCTTCTTGCTAAAAATCTCAGCATGAGCAAAATCCGTTTAAATAGCCTTTCGCAAGGCATTGTGGATCATGTAGGATAAAGGCGCGCTACATTCTATTCATCACTATTGGGTCTGGCGTCATTGAAAACTACATCACCCGAACTGCATCTGTTTCAGTTAATACCTAGGACGCACTGAACAGTTTTTTTCAGATGGACCGAACACAGGAGGTGAGTGGTAATATTTGATGCGGTGTTTTGCTTTTTGTTGTTCAGTGTCCTAAAATTTCGAGCATTTTTAAAAGAGTTTACACAGTAATTTCTTAGTATGGCGAAAGGTTTATTTTTTTATTTTTAAAGGTTAATTAATTAACCTGATATTACTAATTAACCGAAGGTGTGCAATATACAGTTAACATATTAAATAAGTATTAAGTCTGCATTTAATTTATTACCTTGTTAACATGATATGCTTATTGGTTCACGTCTGTTGGTTAAATGTTTATTGCATTTTCTGTCAGTCAGGATGTAGACCTGTGCATGACACGAAGGGCAATGGAAGATCCCAAATCCATTCAGAGGAGGTTTGAAGCGGCTGTTAAAGTGATCCGAAGTTTACCTGAAGATGGTAATACCTCTATATTAAGTATTAAACATCAGTGTCAAGTATTGAACTACACGGTTTTCTTTTTAAATAACAATGAAATATCTTCTTTTAATAATTCTTTCCTCATTTCACACAGGCTCCTATGACCTGTCTGATGATATGCTGGTTATGTTCTACAGTTACTACAAACAAGCTACAGCAGGACCATGTAACACCCCGAAACCCAACTCTTGGGATCCTATTGGTAAAGCTAAATGGTAAATATCAATCACCAAAATATTATTATTTTTTTTATAGATGATTTTTAACTTAAATCTACATGCCCATTTTGAATATGGTGTATCTATTCAATTGAAATGTTTAGTTTTTGTAAATATAAATATGAATATTAAACCCAAACACATGTGTGTTCTTTGCAGGGAGGCATGGAAAACCTTGGGAAACATGTCAAAGGACCAAGCCATGATGGAATATGTTCAGGAAATACAGCAGGTTGGTAGTTGTATAGATTGCAGAGATGAAGCTCTATCGAACTAAACTAAAAAGAGTTTAAACCAGAAACAATCAAATGTTTTATCATAGATAATTGAAACCCTCCCGGTCACAGACAGGATGGCAGAATTAATGGACGCTCTTGACCCATTTTATGAGATGGTGGCGGAAGATGATGAAGATGATGCATTCAGTAAAGCAGCACCCTTATCCACAGGTACTTTATTTAGAAGCATTTCAAGTACTTAACCATAAGATTTGTCCTTATTTGTGCCTGTTTAATCAACATTTCATATTTTAATTAATTTTGAAACAGGAAACACTAATGCCGAAAAAACTGATGATGATGCTGAGAAACTTAAAGAGGGGGAAAGTGAAATTAATGGGGAAAATAAGGAAGATGAGATGGAGATGGAGAAGCGGAGGAAAGGTACAGCAACAACTTTGTGTCTTTATTTTCAAGACGGTGATCTGAAATGATTCATAACACTGTATTTGAGGACTTCTCAGCTCTTTTCTATTCTGCAGACTCGAGCACATTTGGAGCAGGGAGAGGAGGTTCATCAGTGTTTAATGAAAGTGAGGAGAACAGCATGTCCTCCTCAACCGATGACGCTCATAGTTCTCTGAACACGGGGGAGGAAGAGGAGGAATTGACTTATGGTATAGTTTCTGGTCTTTAATTCCATTTCTAGGCCCAAGGTATACGGTTTATCCCATCTAAAACTTGGGGGCTAAGATTTAGCAGTCATTTAATGAAACTACATTGGCATATAAAGTAAACGGCGTGTCTGTTATAATCTGTGTTTGAAAAATATGATTTGATGACATCATTCTCACCAAATATCACGCAGATGACTCAGACGATGAGATGTACAGTGACTCGATGGAAAATCCAGCAACACAAGAGAAGGTACAGTCTCCAGTGATGTTTTCAAGTCTGTCACAGGCTCAAGAAGCTTGAAAATAAATAAAAGAAAAACATACATTTTGCATAATTAAAATAAATCCAATTGTAAAACAATTCTATTATGATTTAAAAAAAATATTGTATTGCAGTAATTTTATGGCTCGAGTCAGAAATCATTTTTTAATGTTTTTGAAAGAAGTCTCTTGCTATTAATATATTTTAAAATGTAATTTATTCCTATTTGTTTTCAGCATCATTACGTCTTCAGTGTCACGTGATCCTTCAGAAATCATTCTAATATGCTGATTTCTTAAACATTTCTTATTATTGTCAACATTTTTTTCAGTTTATTTTTATTTTTATATATATATATATAGATTTTATTAAAATTGATTTAAAGTAATAATCATTTGTAAGAATATAAAAATATTTGTATATAAATATAATGCAAACAAATCTAGTGTATATGAATATTTGGAACTACAAAAAGAACAGGTTCTAAAAATATTCAAAATTGTCCTAAGATTTTTGGCTTAAATAGGATTACCTTTTCTTTTAATTTTGAGGTTCAGTGTGACCTGGACATGTGTGAGATTTGTGAAATTCACTCTATAGTATAATGCTCATTTTGAGTTCTTTCAGTGTTCTTATTAATAAGCTGCTTAACTTATTAAACACTTTCATGTTGACCTTAGTATTGAAGTCTTCAAATTCAGACAAACCCTTGAAACAACAATCATTAATGTGATTTATAATCTGGGTTGAGTCCATAGAATCCATCATGTTATGAGGTCACTCCGATGCATCATACATCACCAGAGATTTGAAAGTGTTAAGTGGTCCTTGGCAAAAAAACAAGTATGACTCGAAATGCTTGGCAAGACCATGAATTAAGTGACATCAACTGCAGTCCATCAATACAGAGTTAGGATAGGCTTGTGACATTTTTGGAGAGAAAGAGAGCGAGAACTAAAGGAAGAAATGTATTTGTTTGTCATGTCAGAGCGGTATAAATGGGAGTATGTGATGCTTTCCCTAGGGTTCGGGAGTTCCCAGGGTCCATTTGGCAGATGTGAGCGTGGCTGGGGCCCGCATGCAACAAGGGGGAAACAGAGAGCCTCAGTGTGGGAGTCAGGATGGAAAGCCACAGGGAGCTACACCCCCCGTCCCCCACCCACCGACACTTGGACCGGTCCGAACTGACAGAATCTCAGCAGGCAGTGGAAGAGGTTGGGCTCGAGTCAGTGTTTGAATAAGTCTTGAGCACCGTGACGTCAACAAGCAATAATGTGATCAACAAGCCAATTTTCCACCAGCATTTGTATAAACGTACAATGCGAGTGAATACTATTATACTTCTGCTAGGAATCATTTCCTAATAAGGCAAGCCTCTATTGCTATTGCATTGTGGCATTTATTTCCTTTCATCACTATGAGCTTGTAAGGCCAATGAAATAAGTCAGACTTTTTTTTTGTTTGTTTGTTTATTGAAACTTTAATTAAAATCTAAAAATGTTTGATATATTGATACATAAAAATGAATACAATTCAGATGTATCAAATATGATCTATCAAATATATCATATTTAAATACATCTGGATTTTATGGCTCTGGATATTGTGAGAATATGGAGCTCATACTTGAGGAGGGATCAATTCAGAGGGTCAAACTGTGCAAAAATATGAATTTTGGTGCAGTTGCTGGTATTTATATGGTCAAAATGAAAGATGTAATTCTGATGGCTTTTGATGTAAATCAAACTGGATCATATTTGATACTAACATTTTTAACATGTTTTTTTTTTCTAAATAATGGTGTATGGATGATCAAGTAAACCTAAGTTGCTTCAGTCTACTAAATGTTCGTCTTAAAATATTAATAACAATAGAAAAGTTATTATTTTGATCATGTTGATAATTTGGAGGCCAAATGAATTTGTGTATCGAATATGATAAAGTAGGCTTTATAGGGCTAAAGTATTTAAAATGTTGTTGTTGTTTCATGCCAATTTTATTATATGCCGTGTTTAATTATGTAACCATGTCAGCAGCAGAGATTCTCTACTGGAGATACACTCTTGTGACTCCATGTTTGATCTGGAAACCATTTGAAGCATATATGGATGATTTATATTTCATATATTCTCAGGTTGTCAGTTAACAGGAACTAACCTACCTGATGAACATGAGAACTTATCAGAGCGCAGTTGCCAAGGAAATGGTCAGTGCTGTGAGACTGAAGAGACTGAAGAGAGAGCGGACAAGCAGGCGCTTAACCCACAGATCGCTGTGATATTGTCAGAGTTACAGGACAATATGCAGGATGTGCTGCACAGACTGACCACACTGGAGCTTCTCACAGCATCACAAGTAAGACCAGCACCAAAATATGGCCTCAATACATGTAAACCACAAGCCTAGACTGCTCGCCAAGGCTGCATTTTTACTTCACTAATGTGAAATATTATTGCAATTAAAAAGAACTTTATATATTAATACATTGTAAAATGTAATTTATTCATGTGATGCGCAGCTGAATTTTCAGCATCATTACTCCAGTCTTCAGTGTCACATGATCCTTCAGAAATCATTCTAATATGCTGATTTACTGCTCAAGAAGCATTCCTCATTATTACAGTATAACAAATTTGAAAACAGTTGTGTGCTGCTTAGTATTTTTTGTGGAAACAGTCATATACATTTTTCAGGATTCTTTGATAAATAGGAAGTTCAAAATAACAAAATAAATACTGACCCCAAACTTTTGAATGGCAGTGTATGTTCTGAAATCAGATTTTAGCTTTTTACAGTAAATACCACAAAAAACTTAAAGGGTTAGTTCACCCAAAAATGAAAATTCTGTCATTAATTACTCACCCTCATGTCGTTCTAAACCCGTAAGACCTCCGTTCATCTTCGGAACACAAATTAAGATATTTTGGATGAATTCTGAGAGCTTTCTGCCCCTCCCATAGACCGCAAGGTAACTACCACGATCAAGGTCCAGAAACATAGCAAGGAGGTCGGTAAATATCTTAAATATTAAATATCTTAATGTGTGTTCCGAAGATGAATGGAGGTCTTACATGTTATTAAAAAGAACTTTATATATTAATACATTGTAAAATGTAATTTATTCATGTGATGCGCAGCTGAATTTTCAGCATCATTACTCCAGTCTTCAGTGTCACATGATCCTTCAGAAATCATTCTAATATGCTGATTTACTGCTCAAGAAGCATTCCTCATTATTACAGTATAACAAATTTGAAAACAGTTGTGTGCTGCTTAGTATTTTTTGTGGAAACAGTCATATACATTTTTCAGGATTCTTTGATAAATAGAAAGTTCAAAATAACAAAATAAATACTGACCCCAAACTTTTGAATGGCAGTGTATGTTCTGAAATCAGATTTTAGCTTTTTACAGTAAATACCACAAAAAACTTAAAGGGTTAGTTCACCCAAAAATGAAAATTCTGTCATTAATTACTCACCCTCATGTCGTTCTAAACCCGTAAGACCTCCGTTCATCTTCGGAACACAAATTAAGATATTTTGGATGAATTCTGAGAGCTTTCTGACCCTCCCATAGACCGCAAGGTAACTACCACGATCAAGGTCCAGAAACATAGCAAGGAGATCGGTAAATATCTTAAATATTAAATATCTTAATGTGTGTTCCGAAGATGAACGGAGGTCTTACATGTTTGGATCGACACGAGGGTGAGTAATTAATGACAGAATTGCCATTTTTGGGTGAACTATCCCTTTAAATGGCTATTAAAACCTTGAGTACAGTTACAGTTGATACTTAATCTATTTGCTTATGTTTTGTTTTGTTTTAGGCTGAAATCCTTGCTCTCAAAACTCAGCACTCTATAAGTCACCAAAAAAGGTCTGTTTATGTTACTTTAAATACTTGGAATGTCATTGTCTGAAATGCCACTTTATATTAATAGAAATTATTAATCGCATCTGTGTTTATTCTGGTTTTTAGAGGTTGCCCTGGTGGCCTTTAACCATGTCCCCTATCACTGTAGCACTGACAGTTATCTGGCCCTTTGCTGTGCACTGGCTGGTGCAGTTTTACTTACAGAAAAGGAGGAGGTAAGAATTAGTTAATGCACTGTTAACTATAAACTATATGTTGATAAAAGTACCCATTTTTACGCACTCTGTCTGTGTTGCATCTTTGTTGTGGTTTTAGAAGGTTAAGAGTGAAGTGAAGATTCAGTTACCAGCTGCGCAGCTCCTGAAGACTTTCAAGTGGTCTGGACGTATCTGATATATACAACAGTGAATATTGTGATGCCACACTGAGCCTCAGGACCTTAGTAAGGACTTGATAAGGATACACACTACTGTTCAGAAGTTTGGGGTCAGTAAGATGGAATTAATACTTTATTCAAAAGTAACAGTAAAGTCATTTATAATTTACAAAAGATTTCCATTTCAAATAAACGCTGTTCTTTTGAACTTTCTATTCACCAAAGAATCCTGAAAGAAATGTATCCCGGTTATATATGAAGCAGCACAACTGTTTTCAACATTGATCATAATTAGAAATGTTCATTGAGCAGCAAATCAGCATATTAGAATGATTTCTGAAGGATCATGTGACACTGAAAACTGGAGCTGAAAATTCAGCTTGGCATCACAGGAATAAATTACATTTTGCAGTATATTAAAATAGAAAATAGTTTTAAATTGCAATAATATTTTACAATATTACTGTTTTTTTTTTATACTGTATTTTGGATAGGCTTTTGAACGGCAGTTTTCAAAATATTCACACTGTTTCTATTGTGTATTAATGGTATATATATTAATAGTATATGTGAACCAATAAAAGGACAAGAATGTAAGAAGTCAATTTTTTAAGCTGCAGACAATAACATACATTATTTATAAGTATGTTATTGTTATTGTAAAGCGGGTAATTCGTTTTGAAATTCGAATAAAGTGTTTGAATGGTTAATTGTGTTTTTGACTGCTGAAAAGACCGACAATGTGTAAGATTTGTCCTAAAATCAAAGAGACTCAATGTCGGCTCATTGAGATACTGTAGCGTTTTCCACACGGACTCAAATAAAGGGAGGACAATAACAATCTGGTTGTGTCCAAAAACTTATCAGCATGTACACGGGGTAGAGAAGCATTAAACCGCTTTGGACGGTGGTCTGAGAGCAGCTACGTCCATACAAAAACTATAAATTCATTGTCTAACTCTAGAGCTACCTTTTAACGGACGTAAACAACACTTAAGACGAATAATTTGTGCGGTCAAGAACACTACTATGGCGAAGGTTTATGAATATTAATTACGTCATATGACGTTCGCACAGTAGACAACGCTGATTTGCTGGTAGACGCTACGCTCCAGTTAAGCTGGCGAATGAACGTCTCGGATATTGCATAATGAATGAACTCACTCACCTGATTGGACGCGTATCACGCAGCTTGTTTAATATTCATGAGACATGCCTTTGCAGTAGTAGGATTCGTAATTTGCGAGTGCAGATGGATATATGTGCACGTGGTGAATCTGTAAACAGTTTTTGTGTCGTGCATTTATTCAGTTTGCGGTTTAAGAAATAAAAGGAGGAGAGTTGAATATTATTATGGACGAAGTAAATCGAGCGGATCCTCCGAACTGGATCCAGCAGCACGCCGTCGTAAGAGCGAGTAACATTCCTGTTAATATAAATTGATGCACTGCATATTTGGACAAGTGTAATTTAATTCAGTCTTCTCTTTAGTATCAAGACCTGATGCATTTAGATGTCGGTGACAGTGCTCAAGTATATGCTGCCTTCCTGGTGTACATGGATCTGACGGAAGGTGAGGAAATGACAGCAGTACTTAGAAGTGGAACATAAAGCTTATAAAATGATTGATAACCCTTTTGTGTTTTTTATTTTGCAGTGCGTAAATGGAAAGAGGTGGTTGGAGTTTCCTGCCCAGAGCTACAGGCGGTTCTGTTGGAGGGTCGAGAGAAGGAAGGAGAAACAGTCCAGATGGTCTACCCTCTGCCTTCACACAGATCCATCAAACACAGAGAGTAGGAGACAGTCAGCTTTTACTATAATACTCTCATTACTAAGCAGCAGCTTTTGAGCCATGGTGTGTTAAAGCTTCCATGACAGATTTATGCAGCCCCTGGCGGATACCAACGGAATTGAAAGAACTGTTTCCAAACAGGTTTCCCAAAGGGACCATTCACACAGAATGCGTTTTCCATTGTTTTTCTATGTGAGCACACACTAGACAGATGTACTGCAGTGTTTCATAATTGACAGGGTGTTCTTATGCTTCATGGGACTGCAGTTTTTACCTTCTCTCAATTAAGTACACAGTCTTGTACTTTTTTTTTTGTCTCATTTTCAAATACTTTTTTTTTATTTTTTTTATTCAACTCGTTTTAAAAGGGTCATATGATGCTGCTAAAAAGAACATTATTTGGTGTAATGAAATGTTTATGCGGTTTAAGGTTCAAAAAACACATTATTTTCCACATACTGTACATTATTGTTTCTCCTCTATGCCACGCCTTTCTGAAACGCGTCGATTTTTACAAAGGTCATCGGTCTGAAAAGCGAGGTGTGCTCTGATTGGCCAGCTATCCAGTGCATTGTGATTGGCCGAATACCTCAAGCGTGTGACGGAAATGTTACGTCCCTCACCATACTGTGATGCCTGCGGCAATCACATGTGACGACCCCGGGCTGGACTCCGCTGCGTCCACGGTGAAAGCCGATCCGGCGATCCACAGCCCGAAGTTGATGTATTTCCTCAGCGACCAGCACGGATCAGCTCCAGGCATGACGAAGCGGATATCGTCCTCTTTTGGAAGGCCAAACAAAGTAGTTTCGCTTTCACAACGAAGCACACAGCGCCTTCACGACATGGCGGCGGCAACAATACTACAGCGAGAATAAAAGTTAAGCCTTCTTTCTTTGCGTGAAGATGTGTGGAAGAGTTGCATAACCGGCCAAATAGTGACATAGATATGTGGGGGCGAATTAGAACGAGCCGTTTTAGGTAGGCGTGGCTGACTCTTAACTTTTATAAAGAATATCTCTTTGGATTTGAGACTTTAGTCTTTGCAACTTTACAGATCTTCTTTATGCACCAAGAGCTTGTAACACTCCAAAGAGAAAGGAAAAATTGAAATCGCATCATATGACCCCTTTAATTAAACAAGTTTGTAATGTTGTGATTTGCTTTGCAGCTGTTTGGTTAGTGGCTTCTAAGGACTGGCTGAGAGCTACATCTATGTTCTGATTGGCTAACGCACTCAAGACGGAACTGTTTTTTTTTGTGTTTACTAAAGGGCAATTTTGCAGGAAATATGTTTCTATGGTATTTCTTGGGTATTCAAAAAAAAAGAAAAAAAAGCTTGCAGTAGCTTTCACATATTTCCCTCATAAAATGTTACATTTATAACTACACTATTTTTAAAAAGAATGTATGGTAGTGCTTAATAATAATAACCCTTGACTAATAATGCTTAACAGCATTAATGTACACTTAAAAAGTTAAAAAGGTCATAAAACAAATTTTCATACATCAGATTTGCATATACATCTCATATCGCTAACAAATATTACCGAACATAAGTTGTTGTTAAGATGGTATCTGGCAAGGACACATGACTTAAGTTGAAACAAGGTCTCATACCTGCCTTATAAGCCTTAATGTGATTATGCTTTAACACATATGATAATGTGATTTCCTCTGTCTCTCACAGGTTGCGGTGTATATTGGACAGAGGTGCCCCGATGCTCTTGTGTGCAGTGGCTTCGGACTCCACTCTGGTGTATCAGAGACTGTGTGACGGCTTTCTGACCCCTGACCCTCCAGTGGACATTCAAGACCAAGGCCGCAGACAGCGTCACAAACGGAGGTTACAGACGTGAGAGAAACACCCAGATGATACAGACAGACTGTGATTCCTAACTCTCCAGATGTGAGGATTGGGTAGTACTTACAGTCCGAATACATTTATGAACTCATTTTATCTTTGAAGATGAGAGAGACTGAATTTATAAGGTCAGCTTAGACATGGACTGTATTTGTCTGTATGAGTGGATCCATGCTGCTTTTGTCTGTTATGTATTACACAAACACAACACCACTGAGCTGCTCTTTTTTTACTCAAATGCTTGAAATGTCAGATGTGTAAAATGACACATTCTGAGAAAAAAAACAAAAAAACAGAAAGCTGAAAAATACATGGATATCTGAATCCTGTATAAAATCCATCTTAAAGGGATAGTTCACCCAGAATTAAAATTCTCCTTATTAACTTACCCTCATGTTGTTCCAAACCCATTAAAACCTCCATTCATCTTTGAAACGCAAATAAAGATATTTTTAATGAAATCTGAGAGATTTCTGTCCTCCAGTGAAAGTCCGTGCAACCAAAACTTTGATGCTTCAAAAAGTTCATAAAGACATCGGAAAAAAGTAATCCATATGAATTGAGTGGTTTAATCCAACCAAGTCTTCTGAAGAGTCACTCAAGTGCTTGCATGACTAACAAAAACAAACCTCATTGGTTCTCATGCATAAAGCAAGTTCAGTTGAGCTTTCATTGACCATTTTTGATGTGCTCAATGCATGTGTCGATCAATGTTTATGTGTGAATAAAAGCATTAATTAAATCTATAAAGCGAACAGGTTTCATCAGAAAACTTGGATTAATCATGTGGATTGTTTTTACTATGTTTTTTGAAGCCTAAATGTTTTGGGACAAAAATCTCCCAGGTTCATTAAAATTCTTCATTTGCATTTGAAAGATGAATGAAAGTCATGCAGGTTTGGAAAGACATGAGGGTGAGTAAATGATGAGAGCATCTTCATTTTTGGGTGAACCGAGGAATAGTTCTCCCAAAACCTGTCATTTATTCACCCCTTGTTCCAAACTTAATGACTTTTTAATTTTTCTGTAAAAAATACAAAACAATGGACCCCATTGACTTCATTATATGAAAAAAAAAAAAACCATCAATAAACCTGATGCTTTTCCTTGGTTAGTTGTGTATTTATTTATTCTTTCACTCAGCATCACATTTTTGGCAATTTTGTTTGGCCCAACTGTGTACATAGAGAACTTAAGCATACATGTGGCATACTGTTCACTTTAGTGTGAAAATACAGAGATTAATGGCTTACTGTTGTATCTCATTTCAGAAAAGAAAACACTGTGTGCTTAAGGCAAATTACTGTCATACTGTAAAAGGAAGAAGCACTTCCTGGTAATAAAAACGTATCTATGTAAAACTTCCTGAAGGCTGGTTTTGAAACTTGTACTGGTTTTCAACTCAGGAATAGTGACTATAAATGTCAAGCGAACGTATGATATCCACCTGTTATATAGAGTAAAATGAGTATTTGAAAACTACATTACCTTAAAGGGGTCCTATTATGCTCTTTTACAAAGTCTTGTTGTTGTAGTTTTTGAAAAGTGATTTCTGTTAAATAAAATATCTCCTTTTGAATTGGACTTTGAGCTTTCTAACTTTGCAGATCTTTTTTATGCTCAAACAGCAACATTACAGACTAACTAAAGTTGAAAATGTGAAAAAGCATAATAGGACCCCTTTAAGATGCTGTAACTGGCATCTCTAAACACGGCTAGATGCTGTGATCTATCTCCACCACCCAACACGTCCTCAAGACCGGCCCTGAAGGAACTGCACTGCCCTCATCTAACCAACAAATCTAGTGATGATTCATACAGCACTGCTGTCCTGAGTGTTGTAACATAACTCAAAGAAAAAGGTCAAAAAGACATATACATAATACACTGTGGGTGAAAAATACTTTGTTAAAAAAACAATTGGAATGCTAGAAATGGCCTTGTGTTTCTGTCCATACGCTTTCACCTACTGTGTCTCAACAGCATGAGCTGGACAGAATCACACAAGTCTCTCAGTAGGCATGTACTCCTTAGGAGATATCATCTCCACTGCTAGTCCAGCGTGTGTAGTGTCCATGTCAAAGAGAGGGCAAAATCCAGGATTCTCAGCATGGCTCTCTCCACTCTATGTAGTCTATGAGTAGGAGAAAGGCTTATGGGTAGTGTAAGGCAAGGGACTGAGGAACAGTCTGAAAATGGCTTTCCCATTCAAATCTTGCGCCAAATCCCAGTCTCCTTAACCATGGCCTTTCCATGCCCCCATACCGTTTAAATACTAGTCCTTAAGAGTCTCAAATACTGACCTGTAAGACATTTGGGAGAGTGTGTAGATTGTAAACGGAGTAGATAACTGGGTTGAATGTCACTTGAACCCACACTCTTGAAGATTAATACTTGTTGGGTATGGAGGCATGGAAAGCAAGTGTAAAGAACTTTGGGACAGGACTGACTCAATGTTGGCGCGAGTCAAACATCTCAGCATGCTATGTCATATCCTCGTCGTCCGAACTGTAGTCCCGTCCCTGTAAATGTAAGAGTCATATTATAAGAGAAGGTACCTCAAAAAACAAAAAAAACAAAACAGCAATTAAAATAGACATGCTAGATTTTCACATTTTCTGAAGTGTATTACTCATGGTTAAGCTGAAGTGAACTTTTATTTTGATGCTAACACCTAAGCCCAAAGCATACTTCTGTTTTTTTACACAAACACTTAAACCTGAAGTATACTTCGATTTTTATGCAAACGCTTAAATCCAAAGTATACTTCAATTTTTACCAAGAGGCAACTTTCCGGTCTCTCTCGTGAAACCAACACGGAAGTGACTTAAACTGTAATTCGTCAAATGTGCAGCTGCTAGAGGCTGGCTGCAAAAGGGAGTCAGTCCCATAGACTCCCCATGTTAAAATGCCCAACTTTACAGCAGAAAAAAACGTTTACAGCCTGGTTCAAAAAATTATTTTGGTCTATATAGCTAATTTTGCCCTTCATGACAACTGTGAGGGGGTGAATTTTTTTTATAACTCATCCGTTTGAATTATATTAAGCCTTAAAGTTCTGCATAATTAAGGGCGTGGCCACTTGAGTGACAGGTGGACTGCCGCTGCTTTCACCACCGTCGAGCTAGGTGGGCGTGGTTTCAGCAACCAGCTCCCGCCTCTGCCCATTTTCGATTATCCGGGAGTGACGCGCTGCCAAGATGGCGACGGCCAGCTACGCCCACTTTGAGCTTCAAAAACACTCTTTAGAAACCTACGGGTGACGTCACGGACACTACGTCCATGTTTTTTTACAGTCTATGGTTTTTACACACATGCTTAAAGTATACTTTGGTTTTTACGCAAACGCTTAAGCCCAAAGTAGGGCTGGACAATAATTCAAGATCAATATATATCGCAATATAATTTTTTTAATAACGGCGATAAGATTTTTAAAGGGGTCATATGATGCTTTTTTAAAGATCATTATTTTGTGTATTTGGTGTAACAGAATATGTTGACATGCTTTAATGTTCAAAAAACACATTATTTTTCAAATACTGTACATTATTGTAGGTCCTCTATGCCCC